TTAAGTTATATTAATATAATATTTGTTATAAATATAAGTAACATTATAATAATTATTATATATAATTATATTTATATAATAAACATTTATACAAAACATTGTGTTTTTATAATAAATATTACAATCAATATTGTAATAATTAATAATTATAACTATGTATATAATATAGTATATTATATACTGTTTCTTTACTCCCATAGCTCCTTATATATGATAACACAGGGTATAAATGAGTTTTGTTTTGAGAAACTGACCCTTCCTAAAAGAAGACAAAGTTCTTTGACTTTAACCCACAAACTAGGAACCACTAAGTCACCCATATATACATTGTGATGTAGCTTTGTTGCTTATCTTTAGCACGCAGTCTTCTAAATCCCTGAGTAAATTACATACTCCTAAAATTCAGCCTACACTAAAAATTATAATCATTTATTTGGTAAGGAAATTTGGATCACTCTCAGATAGTTGAAATCAGGATATTAAGGTTCACAGGGGCCAAGAAGCTACTGCACCAAGAAGAGAACTGAGGAATTTAATGACACTTTGAATTTACTCCAAATGCTCTAGGCATTATTCAGTATAAAATTAATGCCACCCCCAAAGTGATTTACTTCATCAATAATCTTGTCATTTTAGTTAACTGTGCAATGGCCCAACAAAAAGAGAGGGTGAGGGGTGTCCAAGGACAATCCAGAGGACATAAAGTATATGGAAGGAATGTTAATGAATAACAGAGTTAAAATAGGGGGATCTCATTAATAAAACATGTATTTCTTACACAGTAATCAGATAAGGTGCTACCTTCTTACTCTCTACTCCCTAATCTGCCCTAGGTCTCCACTACCTCCAGAGCTTGACACTCAGAAAATTAATATAAGTTCATTATCTCATTATAAAGCAAATAGAATAAGGACACAACACTTAGAAAGTCTTTGATAGCAGCCAGAGTATACTTATTCCTAAACAGTGTTTAGCAGAAGGAAATTCCTCACTCTATTTCTATAATATCAAGTAACCAAAGGCAGATCAACAAAGCCAATTCCTTACCTCCTTTATTCTCTTTACCATTAACTTTAATGTTTCCTCTCATGGAACCTAGAATAAGAGATTTCTCAAGGTCAATATATCCTAATTCATATTTTATATTTTTTATTCTTTTGTTTAAGTGATACACTTACATTGGAGAAAATTTCCAAAAGACAGATTTCAAAAAAGGAAATAAAGTCACCTGTAATCCCATCCTACAAGTAACCAATACTCATATTTTAATGTAAATCCTGCTTTTCCCTAAGCTATAGTATACACTTTTTAAAAACTGTATTTCACTTTACATCATTGTAACTTCTCCCAATTGTGAATATTTTTCCATATGACTAAATATTACACACACATTTTAGTGGGTTTTATATTTCTTACTCATAGATATTAATATTACAGTTTCCACTGATATATTTTGATTTTAATCTCACGAGTATGAATGATGAGTCAGACCTTTTAAAAAATATTTATTTTTGGCTATGCTGGGCCTTTGTTGCTGCGTGGGCTTTTGTCTAGTTGCAGTTCATGGGCTTCTCATCGTGGTGGCTTCTCTTGGTGTAAAGCATGGGCTCCAGGGCTCGTGTTTCAATAGTTGTGGCATGTGGGTTCAGTAGTTGTTGCTCCTGGACTCTAGAGCACAGGCTCAATAGTTGTGGTGTCCAGGCTTAGCTGTCCATGCTATGTGGGATCTTCCCAGATCAGGGATCAAACTTGCATCTCCTGCATCAGCAGGCAAATTCTTTATCACTGAACTACCAGGGAAAGCCGAATGAGTCAGGTTTTTAACAAGCTTCACACACAGGGTGAACCTATAACATTTCTGCTATTGTTGGAAAAATGTCTGCACTAAAGGTTGTTTCTGTTTATCTGAAAACAGAAATTGAACACGTGTAAGAAGTCTTCTGTGTTGACTCCTACTCATTCTTTGGCTCTCAGCCGAAGGGATTTTCATAAGCAAGACAGATGTATTTCTTACTCATTTACTAGGTAAAGAGCTACTACCTTGCTGTCTGTTTACTAATCTACCGCAGCTAGGATGTCATTTCCTTTACTCAAACAATTATTGAGCATCATCTATTTGTAGGCGTGGTTGTATGGTTTGGAGAGAACAGCAGGGGGCCTTGCTTGGTGTGGCTGGGGAAAATGATCGGAGAGGTAGTCAAGGAGGGAGCCAAGAGCCAGATCATACAGAATCTCATAGGTCACTGTGAGGCTGACTAAGAGTGAGCTGGGAAAACATTGAAAGGTTTCAAGTAGAGGAATAACATGATGTGAATTATTCATTTTCAAAGGATTATATTTTGGGGCCTCCCTGGTGGCTCAGTGGTAAAGGATCCGGCTGCCAACGCAGGAGACAGGTCCTTGGTCTGGGAAGATCCCACATGCTGAGGAATACTAAGCCTGTGCACCACAACTGCTATGTTCTAGAGCCCCAGAGCTTCAACTCTGTAGCCCAGATACCACAACTACTGAAGACCCTTGCCTGGAGCCTGTGCTCTGCAAAAGAGAAGCCACCACAATGAGAAGCCCACACACTACAGCCAGAGAAAAGTCCACGCAGCAAAGAAGACCGAGCACAGTCAAATAATTAAACAAAAACTTTTTAAATATTTAAAAAATGATCATTCTGGCTGTTAAGAGTAAAACAGACTACGCAAAGGCTTGTATCAGAATGTTACGGTGGAATTGTTGAGAGGTAGTTGGATTCTAGATTAATTTTGCTGCAGGCCCATAGATGAACTAAATCTGATGACAGATGAGAGAAGAAAAGTCAAGGATGAACAATATAACAGCTTGAACACTTATTTAGTAAACTGCATTTGCCCTCTACTGAGGCGGGGAAGACTGGTGGAGGAAGAATTTGGAAACAGGTAGGAAATCAAGAGTTGCATTTTGGTCATGTTAAATTTGAGATACTTATTAGATACCCAAATGAAGAGGGAGGCAATTAGATATACAGTCCTGAAGTTCAAATTAGAAGTTGAGACTGGAGATATACTTTGAGTGTTATCTGTGTAAAAATGGTATTTAAAACGAGGGGTTGGGTGAGATCACTTAAGGGTGAGTACAGGTAAAGAAGAAAACAGAGTCAAGGACTAGATCCCGGCACACCTCAACTTTTAATGGTAGGAAAAATGAGGAGCGGCCAGCCAAAAGACTCTAAGACCAGTGAAGAAAGAGGACAGTCAAGTAACAGTGGTTTCCTGGAGGTCATGACAGATGAAATTCTAGAAGGAAGAAGAGGTCATCCATGCCAAATGCAGCTGTTATGACCGAGAAGTAACTGTCAGATCTGAACTTGTGGGGGTCACTGGTACCTTTGGCAAGAACACCATCTGGGGAAGGATAAGAAAGCAAGCCTTACAGGAATGGACTCAAGAAAAAGTGAAAGGGTAAAAGGGGAGAGAGTGACTAGAAATGCATTTGAAGGCATTTCGCTATAACAGAACAAAGATTTCCCAGAATTCCGTGCCCATCCTTTACCAAACTAAATAAGACCCCTCTGTCAAATCTTAATATAGTTGTTTTTTCACTCTATATTTTTCTGAGATTATTTGATTAGTTGACTGAAACCAAAATGCACAACATGAGAGCTATGAGTTTGGTTTCATTTAGGGTCTTACTGAGGACTATATCCACGAGACAACCACTCAGTACCTCTGAACAAGATGTTCCCAAAAAGGTAGGGGGTGAAGCCACTCTAAATGTCATTTTGACTAGGGACTAGGGACAGTCAAGCACATGTCTTGAAAGAAGATTACTGTTAGTCACAAGGAACAGAGATCTCAAGCTAATGATTTTAGTGCTTTTACATGAAAATATGAAATCTGGGTTCACTAAAACTCTTCCTGAAATACGCATCTAGCTATGTAAGGGGCCTGCTTGTTCAAAGCACAGAGCATCCTGTTACCACCTTAATTTCCTCTCTCTGAAGCACAGAGTGCACTGTCGATCAGCTACTACAGTGGTTTAATCCTGGAAGAACTGGGTGATAAGCAACAGTCTCTGTCCTTCTCTGTTTATAGACTATTGACTATCTCCCTGCTAGACTGTCAGCTCTTCTAGGGCAGGGACAGTCTTGCTCATCACTGAACCCTCAGTGCTTTAAACATGGTATAGCATAAGTTTAAAACCATTTGTTGATAATCTGAATAATTAAAAGCTTAAATGGTAAATTTGATTCTGTTTATGTTAGCTCCTTATGGTACACCTTTCACTTATGTAATTTGAATTTGATGCAAATCTTCGTTTTTTCCATCCAACATTTCTCACATTACCAACTAAGAAAGTAAATTTTTTTTTGTAGAAATAACTCTCTAATTATATTCCAATTAACATTTTTAATGAATATTAATAGATAAATCTTAAGGACTAGAGCAACTCTAATGCTTAACTCAGAATTAAGAATAATTGCAAATGTTTTCTCTATAATACTCAATTTCCATAATTTGTACTAGTTCTCATTTTTCATAATGCTATCAGTGCCTTCGCTCAAACTATAGGAATGCTGGGCAAAGCATATTTGTCAATAATCTGGTTACAAATAATACATATGAACTATCCACCAAACAAGTTTTAAAAAAGGAATCAATTACTCTTGATATTAGTACATTAAGGAAACCAGTTTCAATATAGAAAAATTACTTGAAACTTTTAGGCTAGGGATAAAAATTCCTACTGTATTGTTAAAATATTCCAAGTATACAGAAAACTAGACAGAATTATTAGGTACTATAATAAAAACTGAAAAATCTGATAAATCTTATGCTTTATGAAGGTTTACTTTGATGCCTCCATAGAATATAGAAGTCACAACCTTAAATACTATCTTTTTCTTCTCTTCTAAAGCTTACAAATGAAATGAAGAACAAATTTCTTTATTTTATGACACATATTTTTCTAATAAAGCACAATAAAGCAAAAAGATAAAGATAAAAATATGAAAAAAGTAACAGACTTACCAGACATATGAAAAGAATATCTCAAAGAAAATTCTTCCATGGCCAAACTTGCATTGTATGTGAAAATCAACATCATAAGAGGACCATGAGATTTTAATGAAGGTGAATCTCTTTCACATAGATTTCCTAGCCAAAAAAAAAAACAACAACAACAACCCCACCCCCCGCAAAGCAACATTCTTACTATTCATCAAGGCAAAAGTTGCTGAGCAAAGTAAAAGGAAAAAAATACTATTTTTAATGCAAATTTATACTTTATCTACTACCAACAATTTAATAATGGGAAATTAAGCAAAACAAAACCAAATTAGAATAGATACGTTCTAGATTTCTGAGTGTAAGCAGTGCTAAGAAAGTGGTTCCAAACCAACTAGGACATTGTACCCAGTTCTCATAATGTCTGAAAGACTTAAGTAGATCTTTTAAAGTTATATAATAAAAAAGAAGGTAACATGGTCTGGCTAGATCATCACGGAACTAAAATATATTTTGTCACCAGATTGAAATAACCATATATAAAGGAATATATTTGAGCTTTTGTTACATACAACTTTCATTTATCCACAGCACAACCAAATGAATAAGAGGCAGGGTACAGTAATTGGCATAAAAGTCAAAACCACTAGCTGGTCTAAATGAGATTTTTTTAGGCAACAGTTCTTAGAAGTCTCCTGTGAGTCAGAATCCTAGGGCTAATTAGTAATGGTTTCACTCAACCTCCCATTGCCCCTGGATTTCTAAAAGCATCCTTCAGAAGATGATGGAGACTGATCCTTACCCATGGTTCTCTCTCTTGTAAGGCTGACTGGTAATAGCCAGACTGCTGTTATAAAGTTTTCTGTAACTGCTACCCTATGAATCTAGTTCAACTTCTGGAATATAATATTTTTCTTTCATCTTCTGATTTTTATAGTTTTCTTTATGATCAGAATGTTTAATCCTTCACTAGAAAAAATCTGGACAATTTAAAAAATAACTACTTATAACCTTACAGTCTAGAAATATCCACTTGAACATATTGGTGTGTTTCTCCCTATGATAGGGACAGAATGGGATGATCAAATAGTGAGCACAATAGTGAGTTCCCCATTAGGGAACTGTAGATAGAGAGGGAACTACAGGGGGCTTTGGGAGACCACAATAAGACTAATGATCACTCAAGAAAGTAATAGGAAAATTCTGAAATAATGTGGGCTTGCTTGACTCCTAAAGCAAAACAAATCACTTAACATCAAAGTCAGATTGGCTTACTTAATGATAAAATCAAGCTAACTTCAGTTCAGTTCAGTCGCTCAGTCATGTCCGACTCTTTGTGACTCCATGGACTGCAGCACGCCAAGCTTCCCTACCCATCACCAACTCCTAGGGCTTTCTCAAACTCACAGCCATTGAGTCAGTGATGCCATCCAACCATCTCATCCTCTCGTCCCCTTCTCCTACCACCTTCACTCTTTCCCAGCATCAGGGTCTTTTCCAATGAGTCAGTTCACATCAGGTAGACAAAGTATTAGAGTCACAGCTAAAACAACACCCCCCAAAAAAAATACACAACACAGATCCCCTATAAGAGACAAGGTTGAACCCCGTGCAAACCAAAGAACCCCCAAAAAGCCTCCCCAAAAAAAAAAGTCAAAAACAACAAACCCTTGGCCCCCAACCTTAATTAAGGGCCAAAACCCAAAACAAAACAGAACAACGGAAAAAACAAAACCCTGAACAAAAAAAACCTTGGTGGCAAAAGAAAGGCCCCGCCTTTTAAAAAGCCGGCCAAAATGGGCAAGGCCAAACTAATTAGCAACAAAACCATGCAACAGAAACAGGGGACATGCCCACAAACAACAAAATCAATGGCAGCATGAAACCTACATCCTGCTCAGTAACACCAGTGAGTTAGTAACCCCCAAAACATGTTCTTTGGCCTAGATATGTTCTTTGCACAATGCCCCCAGAACAAAAGAACAATAGTAGAAAATAAGGCCTACAAACTGCCCAGTGATATCATCAAATTAATGACCACCAAAACAGGCTCTGTGCACACAAGAAAATAATCATTTATGGAAAGATGACTTTTCACAATGAAAGGCCCTCATTGTACTGAGACCTGAAAATATTTTTCCAAGTGCTCTGATAGTTGAAGTAAACTTCCCTGCCCTACCTGGGGCAGGAAGCTGATGATGGAAGTTCTACTTTCTTTCTACTCAAGAAACACAAAGAAGATCTCCCTCCCCTCACTCTTTCTCTGATTACAAAAATGTAACCCATTGAGTACTTGGGCAGCGCAATGCTTGTCTTCCCGCTTGTGAACCTTACAAATGTCCTGTTCTAATAAATCACTTCCTATCCATCACTTTGCCTCTCACTGAACTAATTTCTGGGCTAAGACATAAAGGACTGTGGTGCCGGAGCTCTTCAGAGCCCTGGAAACAACACCCAATGGTTTCAGCTGGTGACCAGAGCAGGACTGTGCTGAGATAAGAAGGTCTGGGGTTGGGTCCTAGAAGGGCCATGGGATGCCACAGGTCAGAAGTTCTGGGGAGGACACTCCACTGATGACAGCCCATTTCAGTCAGGCCAATCAACCCCAGAGCTTTAGGGCTCTGATTGGGTTCCGAGATACAAGCCAGGGGAACAATGATATGGATGTTTAAAGAACTGGAGGAATGATGACAATCAGAATGGGTTGCCATGGAAAGGTGGTATGGAAATACAGAAAGAATCTTATTGCTGGTGCAGGAGACAAGGGAAATGGTATGTGAAAAAGAAGGAATTTCACTGTCTGGGTTGCTTTGACCAGGTTTGAGCCCTAGCTACATAGATATATAGCAAGGCAGTGGAATGGCTGTGCTTGTACACATACAGGCACTATATGATGTTGCAGGATTTAGCAATCTCTACTCTTTTCTTTCACCCTGAGGTTTTCCTTCTATGCTCTCTATCAATTCCGTATCCTTTCTTTTAACTCCAAAAGACCCATATGATCACCGAGGTGTAACAATTCACTTTTCTCTCTCAATTTGGCAGAGAACCAGCTTACAAGACTCAAAGTACTTTTCCTTAATTACTAGGAGTGGCCAGTTGAGCACCTACCAGGCCCTGATGTCAGTCTTTTCCTCCTTCCAGGCCCTTGCAAGTGTTAACCCTTTTATTTCTGACTTGCAGCCAGACAAGTTCCAGATCATCATCGGCACCATTGGGGACATCTTCTGTACTACTCCTTTGTGGCAATTTCTTGGGCAATAACATCTGGTTGGGAGACTTCTTTGGAAGGGATACCATCTAAAATCATAACTGCAAATCTTGATCAAATTGCACAAGAACAAAACTTTTGGATAACCCAGGAAGCAGAGACCTCTCCTCAGGTTTGGGTCTAAGATGGGTCAAATTGAATGAATTCCAGTTGACACCCGTCTGGGACATGTACTCCAAGACTGGAAAAATATTGAACAAGATTTGAAAAAGAAAAAAACTTCCCAGGCTATGTAACCATGTTTGGCTGCAATATAAGTTAGAGAGCCAAGAAAAGTGGGCACTGAACAGGTCTCTAAATTATAATACAATATTGCAACTAGATTTACACTGTAGAAGGGACTCAAAAGGGAGTGAAATACTACATGTTCAAGTTTTTATGACCTTGTATTTGGGAACTGTAATTGGAAGGAATCTAATATTATGTGTAACCCAGAAGGCTCATTTAAGGAAGCAATCAGAGGACAGTTTAGCTGACCCAGTGTACAGGGCCATGCGAAGACCAGACCCCCCACAGAAAGAAGCTGCTGCTCCTGCAACAGCTCCCAGTGGGAGCTGCTCCACAGCCTCCTGGAGGAGCTATTGTGCCAACAGAAGCTCCCAGATCTGAGAGAGCTACTGCTCCAGCTGAGGCTAAAATCCCAGGGGAAAGTGTATGCAAAGGTGAGAAGAGGCCAGCACCATATTCCAGAACTCCTTCTCTGTACCTCAAGTTACCCGAGGAACACAATCTCAGCCCAGCTGGCACCCACAGTGGCATAAATTACTAGCCACCTGTCCCCACACGCAGTAACAGTAACAGGCTGTTACTGCTCTGCCATTTCAGAACAGTAACAGTCCATGTGCCCTTTTCAAAATGTCTGATCTAAGTCTGGCCGAGGATAAATTGGGAAGTTTTTCGGAGGACCCTGAAATTTTCACTAAGGAGTTTACCAGGTCAGTGAGAACTTTTGATCTCACCTGGGGAGATTTGCAGATTTTTACTATCCCACTGCTGCACCCCAGAGGAGAAACAGTATATAATACTAGCAGCCAGAGACAGTGCTGACCAAACGGCAACTAGGCCCCAACAGGGACATGCAGTTTTTCAAGTGGGGAATGACACTGTCCCTGAGGCTGATCCACAGTAGAATCACCAGATGAATTCTACTGACAGGGACAGACAGGACAATATGATTAACTGTTGATAGAAGACATGAAGAAGCTTATGGTAAAGCCTGTTTATTATGAGAAAGTAAAAGAAGTCCCACAGAGACCAAATGAAAATCCTGCAGTTTTTCAAGAGAGATTAGAGGAAACTTTTAGAAAGTATACAAATGAGGAACCCCTTCCCCCAAGGGACAGACTCTTTGTCCTTTTGGCTACGCATTTCATAGCCCAGTCTGCCCCAGACATCAGGCACAAAATTCAAAAGGTAACTGCTGGTCCTCAAACCCCTATGAATGATTTACTCCAATTGGCTTATTCAGTTTTCAATAATATGGATGCAGCCAAAAAGGCTGAATGCCTGAAGAGAGACAAACAAAAGGCTCAAATGATTACAAAGGCTTTGCCCACTCAGGGACCAAAGGAGAGGCCGGGTTTTTTGGGCCAATCTGACCATGGTGGGCCATAAGGCCCACGGGCACCCAAACAAAATCACTGTGCCCTGTGTGGACAGAAGAGATGCTGGAAGAAAGATTCTGATCAGTCTACCCTTTGCCAACAGTCAGTGCTTGGGCAGAGGGGATACCTCAGATGCCAGTGGGAGATGGGGCCCATTAGGCTTCACAATTGGAAGATAGAGGGGCCTGAGGCCAGAAGAGCTTTGCCTAGAGATACCATCTATATAATTAATGCTGAGTCTTAATGAAGTAGCAGGCAACTTGATAGAATTTCTC